GAGCCCACGTCTCTCCTAGGACCCCATGGTCCCAGGACCCTTGCACCCCCTCCCCCAGGGCCCCTCCAGCCCAGAGGCCTCACTTGGCTCCGTATCGCTCTCGAAACATGATGTGACTTCTGAACGTGCGTGCTACATCTTCATCGATCTGTTGGACTTGATCTGAGCACAACCTGGCCCGTTCCTTCATCTCCTGCAGGGCAGGGCCAGGGGGAGGGGCCAGCCTCAGGACGAGCCAACCCCCACTGTCACACAAGCACCCCAAAGCCACATCAGCTCTTCTGGTTGGCAGGGAGAGTTCCCCTTGAGGGAAGCTCATTCCCCTGATCCACGGAGGGTCATGGGTTCCCCACTCACCTTAGTGTCCACGCCACCCCCAGTGCCCAGCAGAGGGGCCACTGTGGACCCTACAGTCAGCCTGAGGCCAGGGGCTCTGCCAATGTCCTTCTGTGCTACCTCTGCCTTCCCAGAGCAGGAGAGACTGAATCAGGCCTCCGAGCCTCCTCACTGGGCTCTCAGGCCCCACAGGACAGGAGTCAGCCTCACCCTGACCAGCCTTCAGGGCTGCCCCCTGCAGGAGAGCCCCAGCTCCATCAAGAGATGGACACCCTTCTTGGACTTGGAGCTGGCCCAGGGGCGCCCCCACTTGAAGACTTGGGCGAGGGCGGGGCTGGCGGCTCAGTTGCTCCTGCTCCCTGATGTCATCCAGGGAGGTGACAGGTCAACCCAGGGCCAGCCCTCTGATGGATCAGCCCTCATTCCCAGAAGCAGTTGAGAGCTGACTCTGACCGATGGAACCAGCAGGCCAGGTTGGGGCTGGGTGAGCTGAGGCCAGGCCAGGCATGAGAAGACCAGGTGAGGGCAGGGCCCGGTGAGCATAAGAAACGCACAAGCAGGGTCAGGTGTGGGAGGGCCGTTAGGGACAGAGCCAGCTGAGGGCCCTAGCACACAGGACTTCCACCTCATTCCAGGCCGTCTCTATCCATTCAGGACCCAGCACAATGGCACTGGGCAGTCCTGGGCCTAGAGGCAAGGCAGGACCCCAGGGATGAGGGCTGTGGCCCTGACCGATCCTTGTGTCCAGGCCCATTTGTGTGTGGGGAGACATGGAGGAGGCTTCTGGGGAGACTGTGGATGAGGCAGAGGGGAGGGCCGGGTGGGGGCCCCAACCAAATGACCACTCCTCCTTGGCATTACTTGTCCACCACACGGGAGCCTTGCGCTCCTGAGCAGGCCCGAGCGGGTCGGCCTGCCTCAGATTGCACGCAGAGCCAACTACCTCGAATTTGCCAGGGTTCTGGGCCTTCCTGGTATCCACGGAGAGCATCATGGCCCACACCTTGCCGCGCACCTGGGCAGGGATGCCTTTCTCAATTCTCCGGGTGGAACTACAGGAGAGAGGAGGCGCTGGTGAGGACCCGCCCCATGCCCTCTGTGGGGGGGGAGCGTAGGGTGAGACAGCAGGAAGGGGAGCCCTGGGCTCTGTGCTGTGTCCCCAGATCTGCCTGGACCTGGGCCTCCTGACCCAACAGTGAGAGGAGGGCCGAGGGCTCAGTGCAGGCTCTGTGGTGCACTCACTGCCCACACAGGGCACCAGGAACTGTGCCTGCCCTGCATCTGGGAGTGGCCCCAGGGGAGACTGGATCTTCTACTGCGACAGTGTCCTGGGTGCAAGGGCATTGGGCTGAGATGACCTGTGTCCTTTCAGGGCAGGACAGTTGTGTCTGAGAGGCACAGTGATGGGTACCGTGCATCCCAACTCCACCCCCAGTGGTCCCCAGGGGCCCTCAGGTCCAGGTACCTTCTCACTGCTGCGGTACTTGGTGAAATTTCGCAGCATCTTGTTCCATTTTTGCAGTCGGCGGCCCTCCTGATGTTTATGCTGGGAATGGAGACAGGATGGTGTAGCCCAGCAGTGTCCTCTGGAGAAGCCACGGATGCAGCTCAGGAGGCTGTGGACAACTCAGCTGGGAGGAGCCAGCAAAGGGGCAGACCACGGCACCCAGACCTTCCAACTAGGGGAGCCTCAGGGGCTTGGGCTCTGCCCACAGGACAAGCCATCCTCAAGCCAGTCCCATCTCATCCAGGAAAGTGGGTCACAGTGGCCCACAGGCGGGGACCTCAGAGCTGCAGGCCTGCTCTGGGGCATGTGGGCCTCAACAGATCTCCTGGGAACTGCTGTCCCTGGAGGACCATATGGCACTCCCCTAAGCACTGCCTATACCCACAGGCCTGCTAGTTCTGCCTCCTAGATGAAGAGTCCATGGCCAAGGTCAGCTTACCCATTGCACTGCCAGGCATCCATGCCTGGGCGGCTTCTGCTTACTGAAAGGCAAGAGAGACAACACCATGAGAATGGGCGCTGAACCACGCATGGTCCACTTCCCAGCAAGGCTGGGACAGGACCTGTGTCCTCCTCACCCTGCTGAGGTGCAGCCCAGGGCACAGAGAAGGGCAGGGAGGGGGCAGCCATGCTGCAGGCAGACACCCAGCAGGGGCTGTGACCGTGAGCATAGGGAGCCCAGGGCCAGGGAGGAGCCCTTGCTGCCAGTGCTGTGAGTGTGCAGCTGGGACTCGAAGCACCTGGGACCACCACACCTCCCTGGGTACCCCCCTGCCCACCCTCCTCCCTATGCACTGGCTGCCTGAGGTGCCTGCTCCCCACCTCACCCTCCTCAGCCCGGACCGTGGCCATCTCTCCACCACTCGGCTCCTGCTTTTTCTCCAGGTTCTGGCACAACATGGAGCCAGAACCCCCATCCCCGAGAGCTAAGGTGGCCGAGACGGCTCCATCCCTCTAGGTCACCGGAGCCCACCCTCCAGCCACGGGGCCTCCAAGTCTGTCTCTTGCCCTCAGGTCCCACTCCTCCCAGCACAGTGCCCTCCGCTGCAAACCCCTCTGTCCCGGTCTGTACTGGGGAAGCCTGCAGGCAGGTTCGGAGCCTTGAGGTCACATCCCTGGCCGTCCCTCAAGCCAGGCCTTTAAGCCTTTAGCTTGGCCCCTGAGACCCAGGTACCTCCTGGACAACTGCCACCTTCTAGGCTGGTGCCCCAACCCTGTGGCCACAGCTCTGGAATGCTGATGGCCCGGTTGTGTCCCCTAGGAGCAGGGCAAGACCCTCAAGCCACCCCCTCTACTTAGCATGAACAGAGGCCTCAGAGGCAGTGTGCCCCGTGCTTGCCCCATGTCCAGTTCTGTCCCTGCCTGCAGTTTGGATTCACTCACTGGGTCATCAGCTCTGGCCACACGCTGACCTGTGCCTGCAGTGTGACAACAGCTTGGATCAAGGAGGGGGCCTGGGGACAGGTGTGCTACCTAATGGTGGGGTTTCTGACCCTGGTCCCTCCCCTGGGTGGATCGGGGTGCAGAGGACTCACCGCAGGAAGCCAAGTTTGTCTGGGACAAGGGCTCCACTCTCGTTGTCCTCTTCTCCCAGGTGAAACTGGGGCCCTTTACGGGGACCCTGCAGGGGAGAGGGGACCCAGGTGAGAAGTCCGGGTCTCAGTCACTGAGGGAAGCTGAGCCACCCTCCCCACTGTGTCCCCAGGGAGGTGGGGTCTGGCTCTCACAGGCACAGTACTTGAGGCAGGGTCCTACCTCCTCTCCCAGCACCCTGGCCCGTACCTGCTCATATTTCAAGATGATCCCTGCTCGCTCCTGGGCCCTGCCGGACCTCAGGGCGTCCATATCCAATCTGTAAGACACACACGCACATGTGAGCCAGCACAGGGAGCCCACGGGAACTGCTGCCCTGAGGGCTGTCCCCCTGGTCAGAGGGGGGACAGCCACACAGCCAGGTGGGCGGGCACCTGGTGGTCGGGTCCCAGGAGGAAGACTTGTCCAGAGCACAGGGACTAGGGACGGTTGGGGAAGGACAGCCCCCACCTTGCCTCCCCTGCCCTGGGAAAGGATGCTCTTCTCCCAGCCTGGCATCCACGTGTCCTCCAGGGAGCCCAAGTCCAAGGGTCTCCCTGGCCCTCTCCCAGCCCCCGCGTCTCTAGGGCTCTCAGAGCCAGCCTCGCTGCCCCACCTGATACCAGCTGATCCAACACCTAGTCTTGAACCTGTGTCTGACACAGACTCACACCAAGGCCCATTCGACACTGATGCCCAGCAGAGTGGGAGGAATGAGACGACTGTATACACGCTCTGCACACAGGGGCCCACTGAGAGCTCAGCCACATCACTCATGGAACCTGGCGTGGGAGACCAGTGCCACCCACCTGGCGTGACCTTCCCCATGTCACAGCTCATGCACAGAGCAAGTCCCACTCACCTCCATCGCGAATCCATTGGATTCTAGCAAAAGTGCCTCCTGCCTACGCTACCAACATCTGGTCAGTTGGGCAGTAGATGCACTACTGACCGCTGGTTGCCGACAACCCAGAGTGCACAGTTCTCAGTGACTGTGATGTCACAGAATCCTGCCAGCCAATCCCAAGTGACACACAGCTCTGGCAAGGGGTCAGGGTTCTCATCCCGGCTTCATAAAAAGTCACCCGAAGTGGGGCCTGTGTTCTCCCCAGGGCCCAGGTGAAGAGGGCAGGGCTCTGGCAGAACTGCCCCAGAACCAGGGGTGCCAGGGCCCTCTGCCACCTGCCGTAACGGTCCCAAGTCTCAGGCAACCTGCACCTCCTGCCCTCCTTTCTTCCTCTGCAATTTTATTACAGCACAACTGTGAAAGCCTTTCTCTATGAACACAAGGTGGCACAGGGAGCCCCATCATGGCCTGTCCATCTCCCTGAGGTCCCCACACTCGGGACTGCCCTTGCAATGACCTGAATGGAGACTCCCAAGGCTGCAGCCTCCTGTCCTACCACAGGCCCCACCCCAGCACTCCCAACCCCTGCCGACCCCTCCTGCTCTGTTCCAGCCCTTCTTCCCAGGAGTTTTAGGAGGTAGACACCGGCATCCTCCTGGGATGGGGGGAGGGGAGCAGCCCGCTGAGCACCACCTGCATAGGACCTCAAGCCAGCGTGGTCCAGACTGTCCAGAGCGGGAGCCAGGGCCCTGTCCTGACACTGACCATGGCTTCAGGCACAGAGCACTGAGAACTCCTGGGCACCAGCTCCTGAGCCGCACGCTGGTAACACCGGGCTGCTGCTGACCATAAGGACAGGGACAGCATGCATCGGGCAGGAGCAGCCACAGGCCCACAGTTCCCCGGGGTGCTGATCACCGGGACACCCACCCCTGAGGGATGCAGGGGTCACTGCCAGCAGCAGCTCAGCCCTTCCAGCCCCTGGGCTGCTCGTGGTCAGCACGGGCTCTGCAGAGCTCAGGGACCCTAGCAGGGTTGGCCCAGCCTCAAGGCTTCCAGCTTTGGCTGCCTTCCTGCTGCTTCCTCGCTGCTTACTCCGGGGAGGGGGAGCTGTCTTCTACTGTGGGGTGCGCATGTATTTCTCTATGTGCATCATACGTGTGTGCCTAAGGTGGGTGTGCTCCAGGCCTCCCCCAGGACTAGAAGCTCCACGCCTGAAGCACCCGGTCCTTGTCACTGTCACCTCATGGCATGCAGGCTACACTGAGATGGCACCAAGTGTCCCCCCATTTTCCCACCCCGCCTTGCTGGGCTGCTTTGGTGCAGTCAGGTGGGCTTGCAGCGGGCACAGCCCCATGGCAAGGCGGGAATCTGCACTCCTTCAAGAACTCTTGTTGCCTTCAGAGCAGTGCTCATTGGTGAGGCTGACACGATGGCCCCAGGCTGATGGGTTCAGGAGGCACCCGGGATGAATCTGCTCTGGGTGACAAGGCAGCTGGCTGCACAGCCCCTGCCAACCTGGCCCAGCATGGAGGACACCCGGGGGGAGGGATGAACTCACCTCTGCAACGTGGCTTCTGTCCCCTACTGTCAGGTGACATCCCACCTGTTGGCCATCTCCTCCTCTGTCAGGACCCTGGAGGTGGATGAGGAACAAAAGATGCACCTGTCTCCAGCCCCTCCCTGCCCTGCCTCAGGCCCCAGGACAGCCTCTCCTGCTCACCCCATCATGGTCAGGGCAGTGACAACCCAAGTCTCATCTGCAGCCTGCCCGGTACCACAGAGTCCAGCGTCCCCATCCCCTGCACATGCACCACAGCACTCTCTGTTCCACTTCCTCGTTGTAAGGAGCCCCTCCTGTGCCCAGGAACCCATGCAGGTGTCCCCCTCTGCTGTCCTGCCCTACCTTGACGCAGCACTCACCAACCCCTGGAGAAACTTCTCCCCAGACACGGGGGCAGGAGGCCTCCCTGCACCCCTTAAAGCCATGCGGCCATGGCGTTGTCCTGCCTGTCAGTTTCTTCCCAGTCCTCATGGCAGCCTTGTTCGCCTCATCACCTGAAGGTCACGGGCGTGGGCAGTTTCTCTTTAGTCTCCCTGCCCTGCAGACTTGCTAGCAAACAATAGAATGCAAATAAATACCAATAAGTTGAAAACCATGGGATTCTCACACATTCGGTGTGGAGTTGATGGCCTGTTTAGTCCAGAAAGAGACCGAGGGTGATAAATGCTCATCCCCAGACCTCCTCTTCCACAGCTATCAGGGGACAGAAGAGTTACTGAGCCAGCAGGAAACACCTCTCACACCTGGGGGCCCTGCTCAGGGGCAGGAGCCAAGACTCGGGAGTGGATGCTGCCTGGCCCACAACGCTGTGCATCCGGGAGAGTTGGAGAATGAACCAGATGGACGATTCTCTCTCTCTCTCTCTCTTTCTCTCTCTCTCCTGCTCTCTTTATGTAACTCTTACTCTCAAATAAACAAATCATATATATGTACATATATAAAAACATTAATTAGTGGAGCTGTAGAGCCTTTCTATTACTATATATATATATATATATATCACTACACTGTTACACTGTATACATATTTTTTTTTTCTAGTGAGCACTTGTAGTCTTCACCAAAACAAACTGCTCATGGGCCTTAATACCACTTGTTCAAATTTGAAAGGTTTTTTTAAAAAAATATTTATTTATTTATTTGAAATTCAGAGTTACACAGAGAGAGGAGAGGCAGAGAGAGAGGTCTTCCATCTGCTGGTTCACTCCCCAGTTGGCTCAGCTGCACCTATCTGAAGCCGGGAACCAGGAGTTTCTTCCAGGTCTCCCATGTGGGTGCAGGGGCCCAAGGACTTGAACCATTTTTCTTCTCTATAATCTTTTTTTGTGGCTAAATGATCTTACCTAGTTGTGTATTTTAATTTTCCACTTATTGGCTTTGGTTATTATATTATAGAGTTTTGCTTTGTGTTTACCATGAGTCTTACTAAAACATTTTTGGCTTATCAAAAGCTTGTTTGACATGTAGACATCTTGGCATAAGGAAAAAACAAGGGGCTTGGTCCATGGCATGTTAGGTTAATCCTCTGCTTGCGGTGCCAGCATCCCATATTGGTGCCAGTTCTGGTCCCGGTTGCTCCTCTTCCAATCCAGCTCTCTGCTATGGTCTGGGAAAGCAGTAGAAGATGGCCCAAGTCCTTGGGCCTCTGTACCCACTTGGGAGACCGGCAGGAAGCACCTGGTTCCTGCCTTCAGATCCGCGCAGCTCTGCAGTGCAGCCACTGGGGAGTGAACCAACGGACAGAAGACCTTCCCCTCTGTCTCTTCCTCTCACTGTCTTTTACTCTACCTCTCAAATTCTTCAAAAACAAACAAACAAAAAAAACAAGAGATACATACTAATAAAGAACACTAAAATTATACTCCTTTCCTTCCTACATTTTGAATTTTTGATGTCTACTTTTAAATCTATATTATCTATTATTTTTAGTGGAATTATTATTCTTAATTCTTTTGCTTGTTATTCTTCATACTAAACATATGGATTGTGGATGTCCTTGTTTACAATATGGGAGCATTCTGAATTTGTGTATTTAGTGACTTGTACCAGTGAGTTTTCCACATTCTAATATTTTTTCTTACTCATTAGCATCTCTTTCTTCCAGTTTAAAAAACTTCCTTTCTTGTAGGACAGATCTATAAGACAATAACCTCTCTCACCTCTTGTTTTTCAGAGAATAACATTATCTGTCCTCCATAACAGAATGATAACTTTGCTAGATCCAATATCCCTGGTCAGCAGGTTCTCCAAGAACATTGTGAGAATCACATCTCTTTTCGTGCCATCTGTAAATCCTGCCCTATCACTCTAGAAGTGAACTGGGACAGTCTGGTGTGTCATTCACTTCCTTTCTCTTGCAATGTTGAGACTCATCTTTTCCCTGGAGACAAATTTGATTTTAATACATCCCGGGATGGACTTGGTTGAATCAAATCTAATTGGTGACCCCATGCCTTCCTGTCACTTGGATCACTGTACCTTTCTGCAGACTTCAGGATGGTTCTGTATTATCTAGTTGTGTGTACTGACTACCAATTTAATATTCTCAGTTCCTCTTGACCCACAATAATGTAGATATGTTTGTTTGTTTTTATTGTTTGAAGGTAGAGAGATCTTTTATCAGCTGGTCCACTCTGCAGATGCCCACACAGCTGGAGCTGAGACAAGTGAAAGCCAGGAGCCCAGAGCTCAATCCAGGTACCTCACATAGGTGACAAGGGCCCAAATACTTCAGCTATCATCTGACACCTCCCAGGGTGTACATTATCAGGAAATTGGATTCAGAAGCAGAGCTAGTGCTCAAACCCAGGCACTGCAATATGAAATGTGAGTATCCTCGCCAGTGTCTTCACCACTGCACTGAAGAGATACACCAGATGTGTGTACCTTTCAAAGAATCCTAAAATACACGTAAGCCTTTTCATACTTGTTGGAATTTTTTTATTTTTTGCTCCTCCATATGTTCATTTTCAAATAGCCTATATTTGAGTTTACTGCTTCTTCTGTTTGATATAGTTTCCCATTGATACATTCTATCATATTCTAAGTTTTGGTTAGTATAATTTTAGCTTAAAGATTTCTGTTTGGTTTTTGAAAATTACCTTCATTTCTTGAGGGCCGGCACCGTGGTGCAGTAGTTTAATTCTCTGCCTGAGGTGCTGGCATCCCATATGGGCGCCAGTTCTAGTTCTGGCTTCTCCTCTTCCCATCCAGCTCTCTGCTATGGCCTGGGAAAGCAGTAGAAGATGGGGCAAATCCTTGAGCCCCAGCACCTGCATGGGAGACCTGGAAGAAGTTCCTGATTCATGGCTTCGGATCGGCACAGCCCCACCATTGCAACCATTTGGTGAGTGACCAATGAAAGAAGACCTTTCTCTCTGTCTCTCCCTCTCACTATCAGTAACTCTACCTCTCAAATAAATAAATACTTTTTAAAAAAAGAAAACTACCTTCATCTCTAGTAAGCCTCCTCCTCTGAGTATTGAATAGTTGTGCCATCTTCTCTTGAAGCTTAGTGAGTTGCAATACAGCAGCTCTTTTTAATTCTACATCTGAGAATCTGTACATGTCAGTTGCCGTCTGTCTGACCTCTGAAAACTTACTTTGTTCCTTAAGTGAGGTTGTGGTTACTTGAAAGTTCTTGATGCTTGTAAGTACACTACATCATCTTCAACTTGAGGGATTGTTTCCTTGAGCCTTCAAATTGTGGCTTTGTTTTTGACTTTCCTTCCAGAAATTCCAAGCAGTCTATTTTCAGAGCATATGGACACTTGGGCTGTTTCAGCTCTAGATTGCAACATAAGTCTGCTGTTGATGTGTTGTCACTGTTTTAGCACTAGAGAGTGCTCCAAGCCCAGGTTTGTCCTAATGCTGCGGTTGGTGTTTTGTTCAAAGTTAACTGAGGAAGTGCCTAAGTAGGGATAGTCTATCATTGCAGTCCTGTTCCTGGTGCTGAGCCAGATGCCAAGTACCACGCCACCAATGCCAAAATGGCAATCACTGCTGGAGCCCAAGACCCATGCTTCCGGTCCTGAAGTGGACTCACTTCCATCATCCATCAGTGATGCTGTTTGGAATGTAAGTCTGATTAACGTGGGTCACAGGTCTCCACCTGGCACTCCTGGCACTGGGGTCAATCAAGAAGCAGGGGCTTGGGGAAGGGAAATGTTGGGATAGGAACAGTGTCAGGTATTTATCAGATGGGCACTGAGTCACAGGGCACAATCCTGAAATCACTTTGTTTCTCAGTGGCTGGGGTCTTGTTCTGTACTCTTTCCAAGATTGAGAAAGGGATGGTTGAGGCAGTCCCCTTGACACCTCACTAAAGAGGACACTTGGGCTCAGTCTGTAGCCACTGGCTTGGGAGCAATGGCCCTGGGGCCCTGTCTGGCACCATGTTTCATAGTAGTGAGCCTGGTACTGGGTTTAACATCAAAGGTCTGGGTGCAATTCCTCCTCTCTCCTCCAAGCAGAAAACCAGACACCCCTTTCCCTGCTACTTGGATCTGAGAGGTGGGTATGGCTGTCCTCTTTTCTTCCTGCATTCCTCAGAGTGTCTTTTCTTCTTGTTCTCACTGTGGTCACTCACCTGCTTCCTTAGATCCTGTGGTGTGGTGTAGGAATAGCTGTTCTCATCAGTGTCTGAGTGCAGTGCTGACAGCCAGAACATCTTAGCTCCCTCCTGCTGCACCTTCTAGATATTATTTGCTGTACAAACACTACCAAGTTTCAGATTATCAAAGAGGCGAGCAGTGTCAGTGCGATTGTGTCATACACAGGAAGGTTTCCCCCCATGAAGTGATCAGGACTTGTCCCTACCATTCCTTGGAGATCATCTGTAATTTCAGAGTATGAAAAAGATGTCAAGGCCGGCGCCGTGGCTCACTAGGCTAATCCTCCGCCTTGCGGCGCCGGCACACCAGGTTCTAGTCCCGGTCGGGGCACCGGATTCTGTCCCGGTTGCCCCTCTTCCAGGCCAGCTCTATGCTGTGGCCAGGGAGTGCAGTGGAGGATGGCCCAAGTACTTGGGCCCTGCACCCCATGGGAGACCAGGATAAGTACCTGGCTCCTGCCGTCAGATCAGCATGGTGCACTGGCCGCAGCGCCCTGGCCATGGTGACCATTGGAGGGTGAACCAATGGCAAAGGAAGACCTTTCTCTCTGTCTCTCTCACTGTCCACTCTGCCTGTCCAAAAAAAAGAAGAAGTCAATATAAAAATATGAAAGATATGACAATATACATGTGATTGTGATGTGTAATTCTGGTGGACATTCAGGCTGGATAAGGGTGACTAGATAGCTTACTGAACATTATTTCAGAGTGTGTGTTGATGGTGGGGGGGATTTCTGGATGATGTAGGTGAATACATAGGTGCTGCCACCAGGGACCACAGCCTGGTCTCATCCAATATTTTTTGTAAGATTTATTTATTTATTTAAAAATCAGAGTTACACAGAGAGAGGTAGAGGCAGAGAGAGAGAGAGAGAGAGAAAGGTCTTCCATCCACTGGTTCACTCCCCAGTTGGCCACAATAGCTAGAGCTGCTGTGATCCGAAGCAGGAGCCTGGAGCTTCTTCTGGGTCTCCCATGCGGGTGCAGAGGCCCAAGGACTTAGGCCATCCTTCACTGCTTTCCCGAGCCATAGCAGAAAGATGGATAGGAAGTGGAGCAGTCATGACTCAAACCAGTGTGCACATGGGATGTGTGCACTGCAGGCAGTGGCTTTACCTGCTACTCCACAATGCTGGCCCCTGGCTTCTTTCTTACAGAGGTGTTTCCAAAGTGTGCCTGTGTTGTGCAATGTGTCAGTGCTTCTCTTTATTGCTGAATACCACAGTGTATGAATATGTTGCACTTTGCCTAGCCATCCATGGACATCTGGTTAGCTTCTACCTTTTACTTAATATGCATAATGCTAGTATAAACATTTGTGTTTCAGAAGGGTATGTTTGGTATCTGTTTTCAGTTCTCGTAGGTGTATATTTAGGAGTGGAATTGCTGGGGTAAATGATAACTTGGTGCCTACCTTTTTAAGAAACTGCCATGCAGGTCCAGTTTCTCCAAGACTGTATCAACAAGGGTTGTCTATATTTTTGACAATGGACTTCTTACAGGGTGTCCCCTTGTGCTTTGCATTTCCCTAATGTCTGATGGTGCTGGACAGTTCTTCATGTGCTTGCAGACCAGTAATAAGGCTCTTTAAAACCTTTTGATTATGATATAGTTTTTGCACTTACAGAGGAGTTACAGAATAGTTTGAAAAAGTCCTGTAGTTCCTTCACTCAGACTCACCAGACATTAACATTTGCCCTATTGGAGTTGCATTCCCATTCGTATTCTCTCCCTTTTCCCTCTCTCTGGTCTTCGTCTTTCTCTACACACATCCATACAAACACACACACACACACACACACACACACATTTTTATTTAATAATCTGAAAGTAGCTGGACTCATCATGTCCCTTTATCCATGAATACTTTGGCATAGATTTTCTGAGAACACGGATTCTTTTCATGTAATTTCAGTACACTTCTCAAAATCAGAACACACGGCATTGATAACCAGTAATATCCAATCTGTGTTCAGACTTTATCAATCGTCCCCATATGCTAGACCCACAGCTTGCTCATCAGATTTCCTTAATCATATTTATTATTTTTTGAAATATTATTTATTTGAGAGATCAATGGATAGAGAAAGAGAAGAAGACAGAAAGACAGAGCTACTATCCATGGGTTCACTCCCCAAATGCCTGCAACTGCCAGGCTGGACCAGGGCAAAGCCGGGACCCCAGAACTCCATCTGGACCTCCCCCATGGGCCATTGTCTGCTGTCTCCCAGGTGCACTGGCAGGGGGCTGGATTGGAAGCCCAGGAGACGGGACTCAAGTCGGCACTCTGATATGGGAGGCGGGAGTGCTGCGTGGCGGTGTAACCTGCAGCGCCACAGCATTCACCCCATCCTTGGCAGGTGCACAACCTTGCCTGTCCTGGAGAGTTTGCACCGTGATTTGGTAGAAGAGTTGCCCGCTGTTTCGTGACAGTTTGGGAGAGTTTGCCTGCTTTTCCCTGGGGCTCTATTAAAGCACACGTGTTTAACACTCAGGAACAACAGGCAAAACGTGCTTCCCAGGCATGGTGGGCAGGGACTCATTCCTGCCCCATCGTTGACGATCAGCTCTGTCACTTGGCTAAGGTGCGGCCTATGGGTTGAGGGGTTAAGCAGCCAGGACAAAAGGCAGTACAAAAAATTATTGTAGTTAATAAGAAGTTTGGGGGGTGGGTGTTGCGGTGCAGTGAGTTCAGCTGCTGCTTGGGATCCCTGCATCCAACACCAGAGTGCCCCTCCGGCTGCTCGGCTTTGATCCAGCTCTCTGCTAATGCTCCTGGGAAGAGGGGGATGACGGCTGAAATACTGGAGGCCCTGCCACCATGGGGGACACCCAGATGGAGTGGCAGGCTCTTAGCTTCGGCCTGGTCCAGCCCTGGCTGATGTGGGTATTTGGGAAGAGAATGAGGAGATGGAAGGTGTCTCTCTCTCCTTTTCTTATCACTAGGTTCAGCATAGTGTGTGTGTGTGTGTGTGTGTGTGTATTTAAATCAGACCTGAGGTGCGAGTTACATGGAAGAAAATTCACCCAAGTGTCTCTTAGATGAGTTTTGCCAAATGTGTAGAGCCAGGTCCACATCATTGACAAAAACTCAGAATGGGTTGAAAAGGGCACACACTTTTTTTAAAAAATATATATTTATTTGTTTACTTGAAAGTCAGAGTTACATAGGAAGAAGAGGAGAGACAGAGAGAGAGAGAGAGAGACAGAGAGGTCTTCCATCCGCTGGTTCACTCCCCAATTGGCCACAATGGCCAGAGCTGTGCTGATCGGAAACCAGGAGCCAGGAGCTTCTTCTGGGTCTCCCACGCAGGGGGAACACACTTTTAAATCATAATTCAGGACTACATACATAACCAGACATGCATCACTCTAATCTTAAGGGACTTGGTCTCCTTCCTCTTGGACACATGCACCCCTAGGAGCCCAGGAGACAACGCTGGTGTCTCCTCTGTTGCTGTCACGGTGAGCTGTGGGCAGTAGGGGGACCCACAGAGAAGTCACTTTCCTGGGTACCGCAAGAAGGGAGCACAGTGTCCTTTTCCTTGCTCGACGACCCCCCTACTTACCTGGGGGTTCTGTTGCCTGCCCCCATTCCTGGGGCACCACCCTGGTGTGGTCACAGGCAGGGCATGCACTGTGTCTCTGGGACCCACTCCCCCAGCTGCCTCTCCTTTGCCCTGGCCCTGGGCTGGATGTTGAGTCTGGCTGAATGGTGGCTGTTCTTTCATGCCATCTTCTTCAAAAGCTGCCATCCCTGCCATGAGCTGGGAAAAGTCTGTTTGGAAGTTAAAGGCTGAGCCTTGAGTCCTTTCTTAATCAATGGCTGTAGAAAGCCCCATCCCTCAGCCCAGGGTACCAGGCAGAAGAGGAAGGTGGGGGAGAAACACACCTCCCTAGCTAATACTTACCAATGCCTTCCCATGGTCGGACAGGTGATTTGGGAAGAAAAAAACACAGAATTGGCCCAGCATCCCATATGGGCACTGGTTCGAGTCCCGGCTACTCCTCTTCCAATCCAGCTCTCTGCTGATGGCCTGGGAAAGCAGTAGGAGATGGCCCAAGTCCTTGGGCCCTTGCACCATGTGGGAGACCCAGAGGAGGCTCCTGGCTTCAGATCGGCCCAGCTCCAGTCATGGTGGCCATCTGGGGAGTAAACCAGCGGATGGAAGACATTTCTTCTCCATCTCTCTGTAATTCTAACTCTCAAATAAATAATACATCTTAAAAAAAAAAAAAGAACTTAATGTTGACCTACCTTAAATGTTATCATTCTTTGTCTACCTTAATCATTCTTCCTTTGGAAACAGGACAGATTAAATATTTATTAAGTATTTCTCTACATTGGTCTCCCCTGTTTTGGCCAAGAGGCAAATTAAATATTTGTCTACCTTAATCCTTCATCCTTTTGAATGTAAGACAAACAAGATAAGGGCAAGTTCTTGTCGATTTTTTTAATCTGATT